AAATATCTTCGGTGGAGGGCGGCGAGGTGAGGGAAATCCCCGAGTCACGGCGAGTTTCACGGGGCATACTCGAGAAGCGAGTGCACGGTTGGCCGCGACGCGGCAGCCGCGTAGCAGGGTCCAACGCGCAGGCGCGGTAGCCCGGCACGAGTCAGATCGCTAATCCCTCCGCACGCGAACAAGCGTCAATCAGTATCAAACTACTATGTGCGAGCGCACCCTCGGAACGTGACCGATATATATATATATATGTATACATATACATATATATAGATATATAGGATATATAGGGTCGTTCCTGTTCCTTTGATTTTTCTCGCTTTTATCTCTGCTCTATCGGCCTAGTTCGATCCCCAAATAGCGTTATATTTTTTCCCTTTTTTCTTCTCTCTTTTCTCCGCATTTTTTTTTTTTTTTTTTTTTACTTTCTCCCATTTCACGAGTGTACGCCAGTGCGTGGCGCCGCTGGAAGATAAATATTGAAAAGCGTTCCGCCCCGAATAACCGACAAAACATTTTTTAACAAACACGCGGTCGCACAAACAACGAAACGTCGATACGAACGTCCGTGTACTTGCCGCAAATTAATCGAAACGCGCACGGTGGCGCCAGCACGCGAGTCGGTCGAGCGTAGGCGAATCCTCGCGCGCGGTTTTGTACAATGCCTGGGCAATAATCCCAGGCTGCTATTCCTTTCTCGTTCTTCCCCTTGGCAACCTCTCGCGCAGTGCCGGCGTCCTGGTTCGATCACGTTGCATCGTACGATGTACAGTTCATTGTGTCCAGGATAGAATCCAATCAAGGGGCGCTGGCAAGCCACTTTCGAGCGTCGACGTCACGGCCAATCAAACGTCGCTACTCGTGCATGTAAATACAGGTTCGAACAGCCGCGTGAATTTATGGCCCGGGCAACTCGGCTCGTTGTCTTGACCTTTCGGCCCGGCCCGTTGATCGATCAAAAGCGGGAAGATGCGAAATCACGAGGAGGCCCGTCGCAGTTTCCGGCCGCGATAAAACCGGTCGAGCATAGTCGACGACCCCGACGGGACGGCAGAGTCCGTTCTTCGGGGGGGAGGGGAGGGAAGGAAGGAAGGAAGGAAGGAAGTCGATCCGCGAAATTAGAAAGTATAAGCGTAAACATGGGAAAGGGACCGCCGGGGCGAACGCTAATTCGATCTATCGTCGTCGTCGTCGTCGTCGTCGTCGTCGTTGCCCGCTAAATGCGCATTACAATCGCCGAGATATGGAAATTTAGTTACGCCTACCCACCGTTCTGGAAACACTGTCGGTATTACCGTAATACCCTCCTCGACCCGCTTCCTGCCGAGCTATCCTTCTACCGGTGGACAGCTAGCTAGCCCCTCTCGCCATCCCTCGCTCCGCCGTGTACGACCGACTCGACAGGGCCGTATTATCCAGCCCGTATACCTAACTATGTAAATAGAAGTCAGCGGAAATTGGTCTTTCGACTGGGAACGTGACCTCGCGCCAGCGACGTCTTAACGGAAAAATCGGCGTCGATTTCCATCGCGTCCCCGTGACGATTCCAACGGGAGATCTCTCCCCCCGGTGGAGATCGGGAGATGGCGATCGATCGATCGAGAGATTCGGGAAGAGGAGTCGCAGCGGGTGCCCTTCGAACGGGACGGATCGAACGATCGATGAAACGCGGGCATGCGCGCGCCTGTGGGAGTAACGAGACAAATTTTGTCACGACCAGGCCGATCGAAAGCGAACACGTGTTAGACGAGCCGTCAACGCGATGCTCGACACCGAACATAGACACGCCGGAGGGATTTCAGCGGGCAGAAAATGCGTTCATTAGCCGGGCTTATCGTTTCGAAACCGGTACGGCTGGGTTGCAGTTTAATCGCTTATCGCGAGTCTGCATAAAACATGTTTCGCGTATGTACGTAACGCGAACAGGATCCACTATTTAACGCACCCGCATACACGCGCGCGGGCCAGCGTTTCTCTCGTCGTCCAAAACCGGTGGTCCCGCCCCTCTCGCGCCGCTCGTTTCGCCGTCTTATAAATATTCCGCCGCGAAGATTGCCCGACTCGCGATCGCGTGGTCCATTCGTCCACGATCGAGCAGCTCCGATTTCCGCGAAACCCTTTGCGTATGCGTTAGCCGGTATCTCTCCTCCCGGTCGGGAATCGGCGCGGCGCGCCTCGGCGACCAGCGAAGACGAGCGAGCGTTTCGTGCGTTATCGTGGCATTCGAACGAACGCGAAACGCTTTGGGCGACAGGGATTCGAAACGGGCAAATCCGCGAAGAAAATTGATCTGTCCGAGCCCCGGCGAACGACAGGACGTATTATCTCGCGATGCTCGGGAATAATAGACCGAGAATAGACCGAGAATAGACGGAGAATAGAAGAGAATAATAGGCTGCACCGGGGAAACGAGGTACCTAAGATCGTGCGTGAAATACGATACAGAAACGCTGGAAAGTCGCGGGAAACGTTGGCCGCCATTCGAGTATTTCGATCGACGCTTCGCGAAAACGCGTGCTCCCGTTTCTCGACCATGCGTTTCGCTCGATCGACGGACAAGCGCCGAATCGGAAAGCCGAAATATCCTCGGGACGAGTGCTCGTTTTAGACCGACTTTCCGCGGTGACCGATCGGCATACACGTAGTAAGAGCCTTATATATATATATATTTATATGTATATATATATATATATAGGTAGAAGTGCGCGACCGGAGAAGAGCGACCTTCTCGCAATCTCCTCTCGATCCAATATCCGAGTTTTTTGACAGCAATTTCGGTCACGTCCGATAATATATCTGGATCATTAATATAAAGCTCGGACCACACACCGCGCGTCCCTCGCGGGGAAATTGCTTTTCAATCCCCTATACCGCCCTCCCTCTTCCCCACATGATAGGGAGCTCTCCTTGCCACCCCTCCATCGCCGCCGCTACCATCCGTCTTTGGCTCTGCTTCGGTCCCTGCTTCTCTCCTCCTTTCCTCCCTCTCCCACCCTCGTTTTCCCTATACCTCTGTCTCCACATCCAGCCTTCACCCCAGACACTCGCCGGGACCACCCTTTCTTGCGCCTCTTTCGATTTCGATCTCTATTGCCCTTGTTTTATTTCGCCAATGGATCGCTCTCGTAAATTTTAACGATTTCCAGCCAGCGATCGCCATCCGAAACGCGGTTTCCGCGAATCCTTCCAGCGGCCGATGCCGAGTTTAACTTAATCGCCGATTATCTATCTATCTCGTCGGTTCTCTCCATTAGCCGAGGACCCGCGTGGAGCGAATTCGAGGACCAAACGGCTCTGCCTACGCGTCCGCGCCTAGCAACTCGCGGACGGAAAAATAGATACGCGAATACGGGATAGGAGGTATTCGAAACGCGGCGCGGGGTAAATGGCGGCGCGCGCGCGCGAGCGCGTGTACATATGCGCCGATATAGAGAGCGACGGAGAAGCGTGCACGGAGCACCCTCCATAAAGAAGATCCCCTCGATCAGATAAAAAATGTATTATAGCCGCCATGATACAGGTCTCGATACTTCGACGAGACTTCCCCGGGAACGGACAGCGTATCCTCCCGCAGGATTCAACCCCTCCCCGTGCCACTCCCCTCCGCTCCGCCGCTCCGTGTGTTTCTCTCTTTCAGCCGCGCGCGACAGCTTCTCTCCCCCTCGCTTGGAAATTGCTATCGGACGATTCAACCTCGAATGCAGATCGCTGCACTCTCTCGAGTCTCGAGGATGACATTCGACGAAATTAGATTCCGAGGAAAGGAAAAGGAAACACGCATGTCGCTGTCCTCCACCGCCTTCGCCACCCCCAGCCCGGGCCACCCCCTATTTCTGCTTCCGATTCAGCTCCTACTTCTCATTCGGAATCCCTTCCTCCGGCGGGACGACGAAAAATCCACTCTTTACCGTTACTAGCCAATCCATCCTACGGGATACGATCCTGCTACGCTCCAAACACGGAAATCGCTCTAGCCTCTAAACAATCGCGCAACCCCTTGCAAACTTCCGATGCGAGATCGCGTTTTATCGAGGAACAGCGGGGGTGGCGCGGGTCAAGGCAGCGCGATTAAATCGCCTATCGGTCGATCGACTTTTTCTCGCCGAAAACGGGTTTTTCGATCGAGGGTCGACGACCCACGAGACGCGTATACGCACACCGGTAAAGAGCTCGGAAGAGATCGACCGGGAACGGTAATCGATCGGTACAACGACTAACCTTGCCATTTAAGTACCTATACTGCGTGCCATAGTCAACGGCAAGGTCGGTCACACGTCGAGGAATCTAGTCTGAACGTAATGAAGAATAACGCGTAATTGAGTCAGAAAGACACGAACGAATGTGAACCACGAACTTGACCGGTAAAATTTATGGTGTGCCCTATCTACAAATCGTACCTCCTAATACTCGTACTCGTATTTGGCCCGATTTCCTTATCGCGAATTTCACACGCAGTTGACGAAGGAATTAAATACTCCCGATATCGAACCACCCAACCCAAGGATCCTAAACCCACTCGAGAACCCATCCAAACGAACGCGTAGACTTATTTATGAACACCGCGCACTTTCCATAATTACTAGTATCTAATTAAGTCTTTGCTTCCCATTTAAGTTTCGATGCTACGTGCCACAGTCAACGGCAAGGTCGGTCACACGTCGAGGAATCCGGTCTGAACCCAACGAAGAATAACGCGTAATTGAGGCAGAAAGACACGAGCGAAAATGAACCACGAACTTGACCGGTAATGTCTACGGTGTGCCCTATCTACAAATTGCTCCCCTTAACAGTCGCATTCGTATTTCCGATTTCCTTATCGCGAATTTCACGTAGTACCGTTGACGAAGGAATTAAATACTCCCGATATCGAACCACCCAACCCAACGATCCTAAACCCACTCGAGAACCCATCCAACCGAACGCGTAGAATTATTTATGTACACCGCGCACTTTCCATAATTACTAGTCTCTAAGTACAATACAATTATATCTTTGCTCACCATTTAAGTTGCGATGAGGCGTGCCATAGTCAGCAGCAAGGCCGGTCACACGTCGAGGAATCTCGTCTGAGCGCGTCGAAGAATAACACGTAACTGAAACAGAAAAACATCGGAGAAAATTAACCACGAGCTTGAGCCATCGTGTTCACGTTGTGCTCTGTCCACGAACAAAGGCTCTCGTCCATTATACTCGTGTATAGTTCGACTTCCTTACTACGAATCTCACGCCATATCGTAGGCGAAGGAATCAAATTCTCCCGATATCGAACCACCCAATCCAACGAGCCAAAACCCACCCAAAAACCCATCCAAACCAACGCGTAACCTATTTATTTCCATCGTGCACCTTCCATAATTACTAGTATCTAGGTATATTACAATTAAGCCTTTGTCTTACCGTTTAAGTCGCGATGAGGCGTGCCATACTCAACAAGGTCGGTCACACGTCGAGGAATCGCGTCCGAACGCGTCGAAGAATAACACGGAACTGAGACAGAAAGTTCTCGACGAAAACGAACTACGAGCCTGACCGGTGATGTTTACGTTCAGTCGTGTCTGCCACCATGGCTCTCACTGGTCACATTCGTATGTGAAACGATTTCCTTATCAAGAGGCTCGCGCGATATTGTAAACGAAGAATTAACGCTACTACCGAACTACCGATCGTTAAATGGGTACCTAACTATAACGTGCACAGATTATAGTATTTTCTGCAATACGATGAATATGAGTGAATATATCGATTACAGTTCTTTCTTAATATGAGTTGATACGAATTTTACTCTTAAAGCAGGCGTACGTGTTCGGTGATTGTAAAAAGGAAAATTCTGGGACCAGTCACTTTGACTGGGTTCGTAGTTCTAGTGCTAAGTACTACCGATATGGAGCCATCCAACCCAACGATACAAAACCCACCCAATAACCTGTCCAAACCAACGCGTAACCTATTTATTTCTATCGTGCACCTTCCATAATTACTAGTATCTAGGTATATTACAATTAAGCCTTTGTCTTACCGTTTAAGTCGCGATGAGGCGTGCCATACTCAACAAGGTCGGTCACACGTCGAGGAATCGCGTCCGAACGCGTCGAAGAATAACACGCAACTGAGACAGAAAGACACCGGCGAAAACTAACCAGGAGCCTGACCTATGATTACGTTGCGCCGAATCACGGCTCTCGCCCGTTACGCTCGTGTTTGGCCCTGTTATAGTAAATTGAATAGCGAAGTAAACTCTACATTCCAGCGGCGTACGTTTCTGTCTTTCGTCTCCAGTCTACTGAAGGCGACTTTTGACCTAAGTGGCCTTAAACAGGTCAGTTCTAACCATTCGTCCGTTCAATAAAGATCTATACAGTTTTTCCACAGTTTCCACTCACTACTATTCCTTCGCGTTATAACCCCTTTAACATGCCCCATTTCCCTCCACGAGTCTCACGCGATACTATAAGCGAAGGTGTTAATCGCGCGCGGAAGGCAATCTTAATCAGCGAAATTCGAAACAACGATAGACACGCGTACAAAAGAGGCCTTCTTACACGTGGGTCGTCTCGCTATAGCAGCTGGCTCCCGCGAACGTATGCTTACACACCGGAAGCGGTGCTCCGCAAAAAGCGATCCTCACCGGCGCCACGGCGTCGATGACATTACCCTAAGTAACGTAATTGGCGGGCTTCCCCGCACGCGGTGCAATCCTCCGCAGTGTCGCGACGTACTCGACGTCGTCGAATCCAATTTTACGCCACCGAGGTCGAGAAAAGAGGGAATAAAGCGGAGCTCGAGAGTCGAGCGGAAACGCGGCGACACGCGTTTGCGTGGCGTTAATCGGGTAAACGTATCCGATCCAGTGGTCGGGCAATTTTTGGAAAACACGCCGAGGACACGGCGTGGCAAGTTGTCCGCGTTTGACGCAATCGCGCGGATCCTTGGCGTTTTTACGACCGCGTTCTCGATCGAGACGAGAGTCTTTTCACGCGGATTCTCGTTCGAACGACGCGTCGCGACGCGTACCACGGCCATCTCGACCGCCTCGATAAACTCTCCGGCCGTGATAAAAGTTTGAGAGGCTATCCGACGCGACGACGTTCGGCTTAGATTCGACCGCTGTCGCGAGCAATCGAGAACCAAGAGCGACCGCTTACTCGCGAGGACGAAGGACGAGGTAGACGAAAGGAGGAAACGCGAGGGGCAAAGTTGCATAGGCAATGGAGGAATATCGAGATAAAAATGGAGGTGCAAGCCACGGGGGTGGCGGGTGGGAAAGAAACGGGGAAGCGGTGGCGCGCGAGACGGGGATCGGTAACACCGGCTGGCAAAAGGGAACTCGAGGGAAAGGAAAGGGAGTAGCCTGGGTAGAGCGTTTAATTCATTACGGACATTAAAAAAGTAAATTGCCCCGTGTCTAGGAAAAAAAGGAGGCAAGATGATCACGGCGAACGGCGGACATTCGGCCACGAAAATATTTAATTAAATTCACGACCGCAAGATACGCCTGTTTCGTTTGCGCTCGCTCAAGCGTACGCCCGAAAACCGAAAGTAATTATCTCGGTCTTTCCGTACGACCGGCCACGTCTCTTTTTCCTGAAAAGAACGGGAATCGCCGCGTCGATGGATCGTTCCTCCGATATCGCGAAAGGAGAGGAGAAAAAGGCGGGGAAAAAAGGAAGGAAGGGTAGGGAGAGGGGTGAAAAGAAGCGGGTGGCAGCCGGGCTTGGCCCGGCCGAACCTCCACGCTCGGATCCTTCGTTGATACTTTTTCCATCCGCGTCGTCGCCGAGCCCGCGGTCAGCTCGTGCACGCTAGAGAAGACAGAACGTTTCGAGCGAATTAGGCGCATGACTTGCGACTTTCATCTTGCGCCAGTGTCCACTCCTCGCCGTGCAGTTCGCTTGGCCGTCTCTTAATCCAGCCGAATCACGCGTTCCGGCATCGATCCGCGTATCGGAATCCGCTCCGCGATCGATCTATCCGCGCGACGCCGGTGACAACCACGATCGCCCGTCGCTATTCACCGCTATTCGCCGCTATTCACCGCTATTCGCCGCTATTCGCCGCTATCTGCCGCGATTCCACGCGATTCGACGCGATTCGACGCGATTACCGATCTCCGCGAAGCCGAGGCAACGAATTAATTATCGCGTGCGCGCCCAACAGTCCTCTATTTACGTTACATTATTTGCCACGTATATACGACGCGTCATGCCTATCCCCGGCAAATACACGGCTGAGTGAACAATATGTTATTACGAACAAGCCTTGTAATCGACCCCTTATATCATCCCCCTCGTGTAGCGCAATCTCATTACCGGAGATGCACTTTCCGTATTAATACCATAAGGAATTAACTTTCGGGATGTTACGACATCCAGACGTCTCGTGGAACGGAGGACACACCGCGATGGAGCGAAATTTAATATACATATGTATCGGGTGTGCATACGTACGCAGAAACGAGAAAGAGGGTGGGATTCGGCGATGACTCGCCGCGTTGACCGGCATTTCGTGCCTCGTTATCGGCCTGGAAATCGAGACAGCCTTTATCCCGGTCCCTTTCGAGCCGATTCCAAACCGATTTCGAGCGCGAACGATCGCGATCCCGCGGCGGAGGAATCGTTGGAAGCGCACCGCGGCATAATCGCTAATTTTCTCCGCAGCGACGAATAATTCGACCGTCACGCCGCGTGTCGGCGAATTTAATGGATTCCATCGATTTGTTAGCGCGGCACGTCGCAACGACGAATAGATTCGACCGATCAGCCGCCGTTATCCGGCCGCTCGCTCAGGGCCGCGCGGGCGAGAGCGAGAGGATTGGCCGGCCACGCGCGCGTTGTAACTCGTCCCGGTCGAACGTTTGTCATCGGTGTTCGCGCGACCGATGCGAAAAATACGTTGCCAGCGGCCTCCGTGGACTGTACCAAAATGCATTTTTCCATAGAGCAATCAGGGCGGGCGCGGAGAATGGCGACGGAAGAAAAACAACCGCGACGATGGCGCAATTTAGAGTAAACTTAATTGGGGAGCGTCGTTCGATTGGACAGCGAACAAATCAGCCCGCTAATCGAACTCGATGCAACGGATATCGAGGATTCGAGGGCGGTACGGCGAAACTCGCAGGATAATTCGATCGGTATGGTGGCCGGGATCGAGACGCGTCGCGATCGCGAGACGGTACCGTACGCGGAATCGTCTGTCCGATTAATCGAAAGGAACGGACCGCGACGATCGGCTGACGGCGAAAAGATATGCCAGGGTTCGATATAAAGCAGATATCAAAAGGGATATTCGGTGGATCTTGGCCGCGTATCCGATAAGCCTCGGTCCCCGAAGGTGGTGGCGTCGAACCCTACGATTGGTGTATCGGCTGCAGGCATCGCACGGTGCTCCTTCCTCGTGGTATGGGAATGCAACGCGGGATCACCGGCTGACAGGTTCCTAATGGAACCCATAAACAGCGTGCGAAGCACGTTATGTTTTCCAAATGAAATCCCGAAAATTGGTTTTGAGAGCCGGCCGCTCGCCCGTTCGTTCGTTCGTTCGTTCGTTCGTTCGTTCGCACACGCGTCGATCTCGCTTCGCTCACGCGTCACCACGGTTCCTGGCAATCCGCAGCCCCGATCCGCGGTCTGGGCCAGGGTAACGCGTGTAACGCGCGTAAACCGGCCATGGCCACCGTAATAAATAGTTTATCGGGGATCGACAGCGCCATTACTAATGTCTTTTATCAAACGGCCGATTCCATATTTCCGATTACCGGGGAAAATTACTTGGTCCGTGGCCGCGTGCACGCGGAATCATTAAACGCGGGTCGCCCTTGGAAAAGCAGCGCGTTTAAATACAGGCCGGGGCTATTAATGACAATAAAAGCCCGCTGATTTCGCGTAAGATTAATTAAACGTTCTCGCGTATATAGGTGCAGGCGGTAATAGTGTTTCCCTGATCGTTTGCGCTCGTTTCGACGCTCGGCGTAGACCCGGCAACCGCACCAGAGCTAGCTGCTCCGTCGCTCGCACGCTCACTCCCACACCCTCTCTTTTTCCCTCTTTCCCACTCTTTCCCGCTTTCTCGCTTTCTCGCTTTCTAGTCTCTCTGTTAT